ATGGAGAGACAGAGCTTATATACACCCAGCAGCGGCTATGAGTCATGGTGGGAAAACCCGAGAAGTAGCCGGTGAATAGTTCCGTTGCTAAGATACGGCGGGCATTGGAATGCGGATACGCTTGGTTGCTAGGGAAGGCGGCACATTGGAATGTGATGGCAGGTGGTGGGCTGCTACGCAGTTAGTTTGTAGGGGAGACATCCACTACAATACTCCCCCTCCCCTCCAGGCGGTGTAGGAGACTTGTTGTTTGTAGAGTTGCTTAGCACATGTGAGGAAGACCGGGCGGTGCATGCCTCATGTGAGACAACGGCGATGGCGTGATGAGCCGATCGCTGAAATACAACTGTCTAGATACACACGATCTGTGGGAGAAGGGAGAAAAGGGGTGTGTGGAGGCGATGAATGTTGTTCTTCCCTCACGACAGGTACAGGGTCGTCAGATGCGCCTGCTGGGGTGTGTGTGGGCCTGGATCAGGAGCAGGGGCTGGGTCAGCAGAAGCGGATTAGGGCTCGTGACAGCAGCTGGGTCCACGACAGCAGCAGGGTGCAGGACATTAGCAGGGAGTACCTGAGGGAGAAAAGAGGGGGTGTGGAGGCGATGGATGTTGTGTGCTTCCCTCACGGCAGGTACTGCTGGGTCGGCGTCTGAGGCAGGACGGGTGTGCTGGGGTCGTCAGAATGTGGTGCGTGAGGCAGGAAGAGGAGGTGGTGTCTGCTTGAAGACTGGGAGCGTGATCAGTGTCTCCTCCATCCTGTGTGAGTGCTTATCTCCGGGAGTCACCATTGTAGGGGTATCGAGATATTAAAGTTGTCTAGCACTCAGGATGGAAGGAAACTCTAATGTGGTTTTCTTGTATAATATATAAGTTATATGATAGACAGTCTGGTGCTGGAGGTGCTGTGTGGTGAGGGGCTGCTTGGTAGAGACGTGCGGTGAGTAGCTTGTTGAAGGAGGTAGATGTGCAGGAGCTTCGTTAGAGAACATGTTGCCTGTTGCTGGCCTCCTGGTTGAATGAAATGTTAACAGCGTGGAGCTTGCTGGAGGAGATGTTGCTTGTTCAGGAAAATGGGCAGAATGAGAGTTGGTTGGTGAGGAAGCTCAGAGAAGGACATGCTCGCTGGCGGGAGCGAGGACCGCCAGGCAGGCGGAGTAGAGGCGAGGGTCGCCAGGCAGCGGCAGAGGAGGAGGTGTTGCTAGTTCAAGAATAATGGTCTGACTGAATCTCAATGGAGAGACAGAGCTTATATACACCCAGCAGCGGCTATGAGTCATGGTGGGAAAACCCGAGAAGTAGCCGGTGAATAGTTCCGTTGCTAAGATACGGCGGGCATTGGAATGCGGATACGCTTGGTTGCTAGGGAAGGCGGCACATTGGAATGTGATGGCAGGTGGTGGGCTGCTACGCAGTTAGTTTGTAGGGGAGACATCCACTACAATATGTTATTGCAGGAAGTCTCCCCAGGAAATTCATTCCAAATACCGTACACAAATGTGGCCATAGTAGCTAGGGAACAGACTAATCTCCAGCCCCCAGCAGTAATGACGAAGCCAGAGCAGATAGGCAAACAAATAGGGAATCTGTGGAAAATGGAATCTATAGATATACGGGAATATCCTGATACGACAGAGAAATGTTACTTGGAAGAAAACTTCCCCCCAAAAGTAAAATACGAAGAAAAGAAATACTGGGCGAGATTAGCTAGGACTTTACAGACCTACAATAAATTAATGAAATACGAGAAATAGAGAAGAGAGTTGATTTATTGTTCATGCAGCAAATATATAGGGTGCAACAGGAGGAAGAGCAGTACTTGAGATTCCTTAACAAGTTTAAACTTAAATTACCCAAAGTTTAAATTTTAGCTAGGAACCAGATGTGGAGAGACAGGTACCTATTTGTTGCTTGAAACTGTTGTATATCCTAGTCATCTGTAATTTATCTAGTGGTCATAGTGATAAATTGAAAACCTCTACACATACTGTACATACTTGTAAATAGCTAGCCCATTATGCCTATGATTACTTGATTGCTTTTACACTGATATTGGCAGCAAAATCATAAGAGTATAAATAATAATATAGAGAGGAGAAAGAGGGTTATTAATAATAATTATAAAACAATTAATAATAGGAATAGGAATACCATAAAAATAATGATTGCATGAGAAGTTCAAGTGGCTAACTGAAAGATAGTGCGCTAGATGAGAAAATCAGGATATATGGCAAGAATATCTTCTAATACAGTGGGATGGTCTCTCTTGTGAACACCGAGGAAAAGAAGCTGTTCAATGCCACAGCTTTATCCTGGTCAGAATCTGCATAACTACCATCTTCAAGCCTCACAGGTCTATAGTTGTTCGTGGAGTGCCTATCGCCCTTCTTGAAGATAGGACTCACATAAGCCACTTTCCATTCACTGGGGATCATTTGTTGATCCAGGCATTTACAAAACAGGATCTTCAGGGGCTCGGCAAGCTTGTTGCACAACTCTCTTAGTACTCTAGGATGCACCATGTCAGGGCCAGGACTCTTATGGACCTTTAGCCTGGACAGTTTATTTCTAATACCCTCTTCTGTGAACACAAAGTAGGTCAGTGCCGTGTCGAACCGTCTGTCCTCAAACCACTAGCGTAGCTAGGGGGGGGGGGCGGTCCGCCCCGGGCGGCACTTTTGGGTCTGCTCATCACCCATATCTGCAGCTACTGGAGACGTTAATCCATCCCTTTGTATCGGCGGCAAGTTAATTCTTGTCGTGTCTGACCTAACACCTGACCCACATCATCACGGCCCCCTATATTTGAGTATGTGAAAGTACAGTAATATTATAATGGTACACAAACTATTTAATATAAATATAAATATAAATAAATGGAAGTGTTTATTGTATTCCATGTAGCCAATGTAATTGTAATTATGTAGGTCAGACAGGAAAAACACTGCAGCTCAGAATCAAACAACATAAGTATAATATCAGAACTGCATCTGAAAGCAGTGCCTTGTTCGTTCATGTTAGGAATAATAATCACCCCATTGCTTGGGAAAAAAGCTTAGAAGTATTCAAATCATCTTGTGTCACAGAAAGACTTCTGGTTGAAGCTAGTTTGATTAAGGAATTAAAATCAATAAACCTTAGTGATGGTCAGTTCAAAACTGATAATATGTTACATAAATTTATTTGTCAGTGGCCCAAGGTTAAAACTGCTTTGAAAACCTTTGATCTTGATGTATGACAGTTATTTTGTGGGTCCCTTTTTTCTGACCTGACCTGTCTAGTCACGTCACCACCCTTCTCTTAAGCTCCTCTACGGTTGTGTTGGTGTGGGGATTAGTGGATGTCATCATTATGACCTGACCTCATGTTTTTAGGTCACCCTGTATATTTAAGCCTCTCTCTGTCCATGTAATCTAGTTGCCTCTGAAGATGTCTTGAATAAAGACGAAAGCTAAGGTACTCCGTTGTTTCCATTTTCCCGTGTGATTTTATCAAGATATATATATATATATATATATATATATATATATATATATATAAGAGTGAGTCACTGTGCAATATGTATTTTTTGTGGGGGCACGGGGGGGGGGCGGCAAACTCAAGGGCCGCCCCGGGCGGCACACTCTAGCTACGCCACTGCCTCAAACGCAAGAAGGTTAATTGCATCCTCTCTTGTGAACACCGAGGAAAAGAAGCTGTTCAATGACTCAGCTTTATCCTGGTCAGAATCTGCATAACTACCATCTTCAAGCCTCAGGTCTGATACACCTACTCGTGTTTTCAATTTCGACTTTGCATAGCGGTAAAACGCCTTTGGGTTTGACTTGACCTCGCTTGCAACCAGCCTCTGGAACTCCTTGTCAGCCCTTCTACACTCTATCTTTGCTTGGCTTCTAGACGAATACTCCCCTGTATTATAGGACCATAGAACCTCGCTGTTGTGTAAGTGGCAGGTTATCCCGGCAGCGATTTTATTTTCCTGAGGGCTTCCGTATTTTAGAGCAAGCGGCAAGTCGCAGTGTTTGAAGCACGGCACCACTGTACAATCAGCTGGTGGCGGAATGGCGGAGTTGGCGTTAATTTTTTTTTTTTCCTATCTGAGAATCAGTTGAAGGTATGGGTTGGGAAGAGAGTGGTGGCACTGGATAGGTTAGGTAGGGTTTGTTTAGTTTAGTAATTCTTCTAGTTGGATGATCGTCTCTTATTCTCTCTTTCTTACGGAGTGTACAGTGTGCCGTGCTTCAAACACTGCGACTGTGCCGCTTGTTCTAAAATACGGAAGCCCTCAGGAAAATAAAATCGCATTCCCGGCAGGCAGAGATGTTCGTCTTGATAATGAAGAGAATAAGCTGGCAACTGTGTTCAACTTATGTTAATTGTTGTCGCTCAAGTTATGTACGAACAAGCTATGTAGTTTTCGTCCCTCCTATCATTTTGGCCAAATCTTTTACCACTCTTTAATTATCCTAGTTTTTTTTAATTTGTTATTAGTAAACAACTTTTCTCTTGGCCATTTGAGGCATCTGAAAAACATTAAATAAGAGTACAGTACTGATTACTTGCTAATATTAGTTGCATATAGTGCAGTTAACATTGATATAGGTGACTATGTGTATTTTATTTTGGCAAATCTTAACTCTTCATTTTTTATCCTCATATATATGCCTCTAACTTGATACCTTATGTAAAACTGTATTATTGTGTGGATGGAACACATACCTTTCCTTATCCTTGGGGAAAACATGAAAAACAAGCTCAGGGTGATTTTCCTTTCGCCTTTTGCAAAGGACACACGGGTGAGATCTTTCACTCATTGTCACGTTCGTTTTTAATTTGAATTTCGCCGTTAAGATGACGCAAACAAACCCCCCAAAATAGTATTTGTAAACAATACTGACGACGAACTGTGGTCACCACTGCCATCTATTGAGCGGACCCAGCAGCTTTAGGAGCCAATCATCACAGCGATTCGTTTAGTTTTCCTGCCTTTCATATAGTCTTTGGTCAAAAGTAAACAGCAACACTGCAACCCGGCACCATGGCGTCTGCTGGCATTGGTCAATTATTACATATTTTTGGAAAATGTGCTCAAAGTTCTTATGTCACGCAAGTGAGAATAATCACTGGAATGCAGGTAATTTTACTGTAATTAGGAATACTCTATTCACGCGGTGACAGACGACTTTGTCCATTAATGTCTTACAACACTACCACCATTATTGTCTTAGAACAACACTACCACCAGAAAGAGCGGTTTGACACTGGTCATTATTCCACTGATGTTCTTATCATTATAATAAGTATTTTAAGAGAGGGGACGATATTATTATTGCAGGATATTTTTTCACAAGTAGACAACCAACGAACCTAACACAACAGGTTAGGTTACATTAAGTTGCAATGTTAGGTTTGATTTGTTATGTTAGGTTAGGTTTGTTAGGTTAGTTTTTGTGCTCTTTGGTTGTTGAACATTGTGTTACTTAACCAAAAATCCATGATATCCCACTTGTAAAAATTTAGCTAATGCAGTTTCGGCCAATATGCTCTAGTAATTTAGAAATTAGTTTATCCTATGTATTTTAGCGTGATTTAATCGAATTTGCCCTTTATTTCCGGGGAGAAGTACCCATTTTAGAGTTATCCCCCAAAGTATGGAAAAACGCCTCACACCCATACCAACCTGTTGAACAACATAGAAGACTTTGGTGAGTCTGACCCTCAGCCTGTCCCTGACTGTGTCTGGCCCCTAGACTTTTAATTAAGGTATTGTACCGATTTGGAGGTTGGCTTAGGTTTGGTTGGTTTAAATTAAGTTAGGTTAGGTTGCGTTACCTATGGGAAAGGGGGGTGGAATACACAGCCCGGTCCGACTAATTACCCAAATGTAGCCACAATGAAGTCAAATAATGGTCCTACATGAATAAATCGGACTGTCAACCACTTCTCGACTAGTATTTGGTGTCACAAAGTCACAAAAAATTGGATAACTTAATTTAAACTGAGTTAATAGATCGCGTGCTTGTACCGAGGGAGCGAGTAATTACCCAAATGTACCCAATTGTAGTCGCAATGAAGTCAAATGATGGTCCTACAAGCGTAAATCGGGCTGTGAATCACTTCTCGATTATTATTTGGTGTCATAAAGTCACAAAAAATTGGTAAACTTAATTTAATCTGAGTTGTGTTAGGTTAGGTACATGCACTCGATCTATTAACTCAGGTTAAATTAAGTTTACCAATTTTTTGTGACTTTGTGACACCAAATACTAGTCGGGAAGTGATTGGCAGTCCGATTTATTCATGTAGGACCATTATTTGACTTCATTGCGGCTACATTTGGGTACATTTGGGTAATTAGTCGGACCCTACACAGCCAACTGTTTTAACCATCCCCAACCTTTAGATCTTCTTATTTGGATTATTTCTAACCCCATTTCAATGAGGTATGTCCATTTCGTCACCAATCTGTTTCATGACCACTGCTTTACCAGTTTCATCACCGCGTTCATTCCCATCAACATGTACACGAAAATAACTGTTTCTTGGGATAGGAAATAATAAAAAAACACTAAGACAATTTATTAAAGACAAAAATATAAAATAAAAACATTGTTAATATGCCTGCAATCATTTCACTAAAACAATATCATTATATAGAAAATGGGATAGAAAATAATAAAAAACACTAAGACAATATGTGAAAGACTAAAAAACAATAAAAAAAAATCAATGTTAATATGCCTGCAATCATCTCACTTAAACAATATGTGAAAGACTAAAATTTACTTATTCAAGCTTGGAAGAAGACACTGACAATTTTTTTTAGGAAATTAGATGTGGTGATATTTTTTTCTTCATATTCATCCCACAGCTTCTAGAGATGGACTTGTTCGTCTTGATTTGTTTTTCTTGTGCATGATTTTAGCTTGTGCTCAACATGTTGAAAATTTTCAAAGGAGGGCCACCAGACTGGTGCCTGCACTTCGGCACCTCAACTACCCTGAGAGATTGGAGCGCCTGAACTTGCCTAGCTTATACTACAGACGGGCAAGGGGCGACCTAATTGAGGTGTATAAGCATCTCGAGGGGCACTACTCAGCCGAATGTCCTTACTTGGAGCTGGCGGACGCTCGCCCCACAAGGGGTCACAGTTCAGGATTGAAGAAGCCGCAAATCCAAAAAACTGTGAGGGCAAACTTTTTCGGAGTGAGAGTTGTGAACTCTTGGAACACTCTACCAGAAAGTGTTGTGACGGCACCACGGCACCGAGTGTGAGCTCTTGACCAGCACTGGAGCAGGTTCAGGTACATTCAGGAGCCAGTGCATGCCCAGTACTTGCCAACAGTGCATAACAGAGACGTGACCGATCACCCAAGCGGCTAACGAGCCGATCAGTGGTGAAGAGGATAAAAGAAAAAAGAAACTAGTTGTAGTTGCAAATCAATTATTGTGGCTTCTCTGTGAAGAAGAGGGACAAGGCGGGATAGAACAAGATTGTTCTTATGTGCTGGTGCCTAATCACATTCATTTGTTCTGTAATTTGTTTATTTACCAATGTTGAATAATTTTCTTTATTAAACAATTATTGTTCCTGTACAGTATAGTAATAACACAAGAATTTGTCATTTGTTCTGTATTTTGTTTATTTAGCAATGTTTTAATAATTTTCTTTATTAATGATTTAAATTCATGTATAATAATAACAATACTTCTTGAGTCGTCTGTATACAGGTGTAATTTTTATTTGTGTAAAATAGTAACTTACAATTTGTCACTAATACCAGCGACTGTTAGTGATGACAAAACGGATTTGAATTAGTGATGAATCTGGTTGGTGACGAAATGGGGTGTATCCATTTCAACTGGGGGTAAAGGATACTAATGTTTAAAATTAATTATAAAGTTTTCCATACTTTTGGGGGGATAACTCTAAGATGGGTACTTCCCCCGGAAATAAAGGTTAAATTTGATTAAATCACACCAAAATACACAGGTTAAACTAATTTCTAAACTACTAAGGCATATTGGCCAAAACTGCAATACGGAAATTTTTACAAGTAGACAATCATGGATTTTGGGTTGAGCAACACATTGCTCAACAACCAAGGCGACATTTACTAGAACCTAATAGAACCTGACCTAACTATCCAAAGAAACCTACCTAACCTTCCCACAAACTAGCTGGTGGACCTCCAGCCCTATCAAACAGAAAGTACTTATTTTGATATGTGGTACCAATGAAAGCAAATTTGCTGAAACATCATTGGCAGATATTTAATAGTTGTCATCATATACAGTAGTACCCCGATTTACGCGGTCAATTGAACCCACAGGGTACCGCGGAAAGTGAAATCCGCGTAAATGGAACAACAGAACATATGGGATTAATTCCAATAGAGACTGGCCCGACCCCCAAACTCCACTTTTTGACGACACACAACTATGTTGTAGTAAAAATTTTATCTTAACTTTATGATGGTATGCACAAATAAGTAATATAGAAGAGGTTAGGTTAGGAAAAATAAAGGTTAAGTTAGGAAAAATAAAGGTTAGGTTAGGAAAACTAAAAGTTAGGTGTAACACTTACGTTAGTAGAAGAGATGGGTTGGCATACGGGGCCTGGAGGGATGAAACTGCTGCGGCTGGGTCAAGCGTCTTTCCTCCCTTCCTCCCTCCCTCCTCGGGTGGACACGTCATATTACTTTAAACCAATTACAGCTAGGGATGCATGGCCAATCACAGTCCGATATGTCATATGACGTCAGTGATAACGCAACAGAGACATGCACTGCGCAACCTTACCGGGCGGCTTGCCCAGGAGGAGGCGGGAGCAGGCGGGTGGGGCGAATCTAAAAATAGCGTCGAGCCGGACACTCTGCGCGTATATGGGTAGATGAACCGCGGAAAGTGAAAGTTCGGTTCTGGCGAGGCACCGCGTATATGAGAAATCGCGTAAAGTGAAATCGCGTAAAGCGGGGTAATACTGTACTTGTATATTGTGTCATATAGGGAGAATGAGAAAAAAATTAAAATAATTCTATAGCATTTCTGTTGGATTTTTTTTTTTTGTATTTTAGCCGCTAAAATGGTATTACATATTTCATTTGTTGCCACTAAATTTATCTCAGGATTTTTATACAGTACGTAGTTACTGTACATTCAGTAATTTGGACAATTCTAAAACTTTTCTTCAATGGCATTTCCGGTGCAAATTACATATAAGTGAGATAGTTAAAATTTTCTTGTGTACGAAAATGGCAGTGGATATTTTGCCATGACTGGCTAAGTTCCTACTAATGTTATTATACTGTGAGTGCGTTCTGATGGGCAAATCGAATCAAAACGACAATGCACATAACTTATTAGAACTTCACCTAACCTCACCTCACCTACTTAACCTCACATAACTTCCTAAACTGTGCATTGTCATTTCTGTTTTCCTATTATCATCCAAACAACATCTCTAGAAAAGTGAACGCAGTGGATATCTTGCCGTTTTGTTCGCCGATAATGGACAATTAGCTAATGAGAGTGCATTCACGGTAAAATAGTGTAAGTAGGAACTTGGCTGGTCACAGCAAAATATCCACTGCATATGAAAATTGGTGTTACACTGTATTGTCATTTTGGACATACACCAAATTAAGGATTTTAAGTTTAGGTTAAGCTAGGTGATAAAATTATTGTTTCGGTCATTCACCTATTTGGAAGTTGAAGTGATGTTTGTCTGATGGTTTTTGGTTTTTTGAACGATTCTGATCTTTATTTCTACCGCAAATTACTACTTTTTGAACTACCCCCTTATCCAGTGGGAACTAGGGGTTTTGGGTGAGGGAATATCACAAAAAGTAGTAATTTGCGATACAAATAAGGGTCAGGATCATTCAAAACACACAAAAACCACAGGAAAAAATAATTTCAACCTAACCAAAAACCGAACCTTCTAGATTTTAACTTTTAGTAATAAATAATACCTCAGACTAAAGTTAGGATAATATACAGTTGTACCCCACTTAACGCGGTCAATTGAACCCAGAGGGTCCCGCGTTAAGTGAAATCCGCGTTAAGTGAACAACAGAACATATGGGATTAATTCCAATAGAAACCAGCCCGACCCCCAAACTCCACTTTTTG